GGGAGTCGGTTATGTTCTCCTCAGGTCCCTCATTTTTCTTGTTTATTGTCTCTTTTTCAATGTTTTTTGTGGTTTCGTTCTCGCCATCTTTTGCCTTTCCAATTTTAAAGAAGACGGTTTTGCAAACGTAGTTCGCCTTATCATTAGTCTTGGTCAGACTTGCCATTGAAGACTTTTACATGTCTTAACACAATGAAATTACGTGTATCTTTTTCCTCTCTGTAGAAGCCATTCCATTTCTTCACTCGCAGTGCCATGTTATGCAGACCCAAGACTTCAACAATGTGTTTCTTGTGAACTAACTATCCAACCTCTGACGAAGACAATTTCCCCTCCTTTAAGAAAATGATTCGTGATGTTTTTAACCTACCGGTCGTACCATTTTCGCCGGTCACTGGGTAGCAGAGCTCGACTCTGTATTGCCTCCTAGGTTAGGTTAGGTATGTACGGCTGTTATAACAGCCGTCCATTCGGAAACTATGTCCATTGTGATCATCCTTTATTTGTAGGTATACCTAGAAAGAGACGAAGAAAAAATAGTGGAAGAGTAGAGAGAGAAATAGTGAGAAAGAGGAAGCGGAAGACACATTATTTTAGCCAAGTCAATTTTTTGACAAAGCCTAGAATTTGGTTAGGGTCTATTTTGGAGAAGAAGACTAGATTATCAATTTCATCTGTTCATCCAAACTGTTTATGTCTTCTGCTGATTAGCGATGGACATTTGCAGAGGATGTGCTCAATTGTTTCCACTTCTTCTTCGTCCTCACATAGACGACAGTAATCCTCTCCACTGGAGTCCCACTTAGAAGTGAGAGATCTAACTTTGCAGTGACCAGTAATGATCCCCACAACGATTTTGATCTCCCTCTTGCTGTGATCCAGCAGCGAAGACGTTCTTTTACGAGAGAATTCTGGCCAGATAGATTTAGAGATTCTGCAAGCAGGTTCCCTCAGCCATCTGTTGCCGACTACCTCGCAATGGAACGCGCGGATTCTGCCAATGAAATAGCTAATAGGGGGTTTCACAGATCTCTCAATCAGAAGACTGGACGACTGCGAACCCCCTGGAGCAAGCTCGTCGGCTATTTCATTCCCTTCAATATCATTATGTCCTGGAACCCAGCATAGCCCAACTATCTGTCGTATATCATTCAGAGCGGTCTTACAATCATGAACTGCTTTCGAGTTTATAGTATGCGACTTCACCGCTTTCAGGGCCGCCTGACTACCTACGTAGATAGTCACCGGTCCCGTAATGTCGGTATTAAGTGCTTTTACTATCTCGGCCGCTTTCGTGATTGCAAGAATCTCTGCTTGAAAGACGCTACAATCATTGTTGAGTTTATATGTATAGTTCTGGTTTATATATACCTAATTCCCTGCAGTAGACGCCTGCGCCAGTGCCTTCCTCCATCTTGGACCCGTCTGTGAAGATTGACAGACCTGGTAGAGGTAGGGAGCCACTAGTCCAGGATTCCCTACTAGGAAATTCAACTTTTATGTCATTAAAGTCCCTATGAGGGGGAATATAATCACTGATATGACTATCCCCCCTAAAAAGGCCATAACCTGGCGTTATGTTTAGAATGCTGGCATGACCATAGTTCAGCGATTTCAAGGCATCTGTTTCCCGGAGTCTCAGGGCACACCTGGCCGCCTGGAATTTGATCAGAATATCCAAAGGTTGGAGATTCAAGATTGCATTCAAGGCTGCCTGTGGTGTGCTTCTTAGTGCTCCGGTGATCAGAATCGAAGCCGATCGCTGTACTAGGCTCAGTTTTGCCAGCAGCTTCTTTTTATTCACCCCCTGCCACCAGACAAGACATCCATAAGTAAGTATGGGTAAGACGATCGTCGTATACAGCCAGTGTATAATTCCGGGTCTCAATCCCCAAATCTTGCCTATGGAGTTCTTGCATGAATAGAGTGCCAGCAATCCCTTCTTGGAGCGTTCCTCGACATTCCTATTCCACAGTAACTTGCGGTCTAGGACAGTACCGAGATATTTAGCTTCATCAGAAAGGGTTAAAGTCACTCCACCAAGTGATGGCAGGCGGAAACTAGGAATTTTGTATTTCCTAGTGAAGAGCACCAATTCGGTTTTAGTGGGGTTTACACCAAGACCTTTGGTGCAAGCCCAATTTGACAGGGTTGAAAGCGCACCCTCCAGGATGTCTGATATTGTCGTTATAAACTTACCCCCAACCAAAAAGACTACATCATCGGCATAGGCTACAACCTTTATCCTGAGATGATTGAATTTCATAAGTATCTCATTTATCACCAGAAGCCACAAAAGGGGGGAAAGTACTCCTCCCTGAGGTGTGCCTCTGTTGACAGATTTCCTCACGGAACTCTCTCCTAAGGATGAGTTGATAATTCAGCTTTCCAGCATTCTATCAATCCATTCCGTAAGGAGTGAGGGGATACCTATGTCTACAAGAGCAGAATGGATTGCCTCTAGCTTCACATTGTTGAAAGCTCCTTCAATATCGAGGAATGCTGCCAACGTGTAGCCAGAGGACTCCATATTCTTCTCGATACATCCAACCACCTCATGCAGAGCTGTATCCACTGATCTGCCTTTGATGAAGGCATGCTGGGATTTACTAAGTTTATTACGGTCGATGGTATTTCTAATTTCTGAGTCTAGTAACCTTTCTAAAGTTTTTAATAGAAAGGAAGAAAGGCTAATCGGTCTATAGTCTTTAGGTAACGTATGACTCGGCTTCCCGGCTTTCGGGATGAAGGTCACGGTAACCTCTTTCCATAGACTTGGTATGTACGACAGAAGTAAACAAGCCCTAAAAATGTCCTGCAGAAATGATATTACTCGTTCATCTGCGTGTTGCAGCATGGTCGGTATTATACCATCTGGACCAGGAGATTTATAGGGTTGAAAACTATTTATCGCCCATATCATTTTTGGGTATCTTATAGTGTCTTCTATCAACTTCTCCTCTTCCCTCGTCCGAACTGTAGGCTGATGCACACACTGCGCATCTTCCCTATAGTCCTTACAACCAGGAAAGTGGGTTGATGATAGAAGATCAAGAGTCTCACTACCAGAGTTTGTCCACGTTCCATCACTTCGCTTAATACTTCCTATGGATTTTGGATCCTTAGAGAGTACTCTGCGGAATCTGGTCGCTTCGTTGACTCCTTCGATCGACTCGCTATAGCAGACCCAAGACTCACGTTTAGCTTTCTTGATTTCGCCCTTGTACCTATTGAATTGTCTTTTATAGACATCCCAATCTGTACTGAGCTTTGTCTTACTAGCTCTATTATAAGCTTTCCTTGCAGCCTTCCGAAAGGTTGCAAGGTCCTGTGACCACCATACCGGCTGAGATTTCTTCCCAGGGTATGTTAGAGGACAAGATGCCTCATAGCTCTTCAGAAGAGTGGCCGTGACATTTTTCACAGCTAATTCAACATCCTCAACCGTTTTGAGATCATTACGATCCCGAAAAGAGGCTGCTGTTTTAGCTTTGAATTTGTCCCAGTTCGTCTTCCGAGGATTCCTATAAGGTTTCTGTTTAGCTCTAGAGGTAGGGATCTGGAAGGATATGAGTCTATGATCCGAGAAGGAACATTTCTCAGACACCTCCCAGTTTACGACCCCAGAGTCGTCCATATTTGTGAGGGTTATATCGATGACTTCACCTCTCACCCTATTAACAAAAGTTGGTGTATTGCCTCTATTACAAATTCTAAGATTATAGCTAAGTATAAACTCGAAGATGGACTCACCTCTTGTGTTTGTGTTGCTGCTTCCCCAATAGAAGTGATGTGCGTTGGCGTCACATCCCAAGATGATATCACCAACTCTGCTCATCTCCTCCAATAGGCGGCATACAACAGTGCCGGGTGGGTCAGGAGCTTCATAGGGAAGATAGACGGCAGAGACTATCAGTGGCTTCGTGGTACCTCTGTCTAGTCTTGCTGTCGTCATATCTCCATTGCTGAAATTAGAAAGAAGCATTAAATTTAACTCCTTTTTAGCAAGAATACACGTTCTCACCTTCTCTCCATTGGAGGTAGACAAAAGCGTGTATTTGGTGTCGCCCAGTCCAGTCACCTTACCTTTGTACAGGATGAGCGCCACGTCGATGTTTGAGGAAGAAAGGGTGAGTAGCAGTTCAGCAGCTGCTGCTCTACAGTGATGCAGATTAATCTGAATCACGTTAAGCGCTGGGTATTTAAGCTGGGTATTTAATTTCGGATTCCCGATCTGTCAGATGATTTCGATGCAGCCTCATCTTGTTCAGTTTCCACATCTAACTTGTCAAACAGTTATTTCGTTTTTATTTTATTTTTTGTTTTTGAAGGTAGGGTTGAGATTATTATGATTATCCACATCCCTAGGGGGAGGGGGTACGCCTGTTAGTCGACTAGTTGTCCGTCGCATTTCCCAATTTGTTTCCCATTATTTTTATATTTCCCTTTCGAAGCATTTTTGATCATTGATTTTCAAAAATGTAGTCTTGGGATATTTTGAATATAAAGTGTAGTAGGGTTTGTTATAGTCTCAACACTTTTAATTTTATTGATTTATTAAAAACAAACAAGAAATCCTTTAATAATTTTTATTTCTTTTAATTTGTTGTATGCTCTTTAATTTTACTTTTTGCTATAATATGGAATTGGACTATTGTCCAATAAATATTTTAAAATTATTCTTTTTATTAATTTAATTTAATTAAATTAATTTTTAATTTTTCGGCTCTTTTTTGTTTAAATTATTTTCTCTTTAATTTTTCGGTTTCATTGTTTGTATTTTTTAATAAAAACCTCACTTAAAAATCTGTAAACATCATCTTTCTACATCCCTTCAATACAGTTCATCCACTGGTAATAATACCAATAGCAGCAACATCATGGTTGAGGGTCAACAACAACAGCAGCAGCAACAGCAAAATGGTGGTGCTGGTGCCACATTGGCACAAAGTGCCACAAATGCCAATAGTAGCACCACCACCAACACCAACACTACGAATAACAACAATCCAAATGCAACCAATAACAATAACAACAATGCCAACACCAACAACAATAATAACAACAACAACGCTACCGACAATGATCCAAAAACGAATTTGATCGTTAACTATTTGCCACAGACAATGTCTCAGGAAGATATTCGAGCATTGTTTGTTAGTTTCGGTGAAGTGGAATCGTGTAAATTGATCAGAGATAAAGTGACAGGTAAGCAATGAAACATCGGCGTATGAATTATATTAATTAATTGAATCAATATGAAGGATTCATAATTTTTAATTTAAGAGCTTTTAATCATAAAAATATCTATTTGAAAATATTATTCTATATATTTTATGCTTATTTTATAAAAAATTAATATTCTCTTATTTTATCATTTTTCAATATTTTAGGTCAAAGTTTGGGTTATGGTTTTGTCAATTATGTAAAGCAAGAAGATGCTGAAAAGGCCATATCATCATTAAACGGTTTACGTTTACAAAATAAAACTATCAAAGTAAGTATAAGTATATCAATTGGTCTAATATATATATATATATATATATATATGCAATATTGCCAATTTTTTAATATTCAATTTTCAAAAAATCAGCTTTTTTGTTTTTGTGGCACATCAATGATTTTTGGTACACATATAGAGAAAAATGTTCTGACTCCGAAACCGTTCGCGATCAAATTTTTGGTTGATGCGCGCAAAAGTTATCGAGGTTTTAATTTAGGGCATAAGAAAAAAATCTTAAAATTACTCCGTTTATTATATTGACAAAAACGTTGATATATATCTTCCTCCGTAAAATAAGAATATTAATATATTATAATAATCGTGAAAAAGTTGCACATCTTCGCGAAATATGAGAAAAATATAGGAGATTACGTGAATATTTTCATTATATTAATTACATACATACACCTATAAAATAATTTAAAAATATCTATATAATCTTAACACCATGATGAATCAAATCATATAAAAATCACACAAGTCCGTGTTGCGGTTTGTAAATTACACCGACAACAAAACAAGATATTGGGGAAAAATATTTGTTTTTGGTTCGAAGAAATAATGTCATCGCCGAAAAATTGCCATATATGAAAATAATCACTTCATGTGTATAAGTACACCCTGCGGATTGTACCAAGTAGAAATCTTAAAATAAAACTATATTATGAAATATACATTTTAAATTTCGTCTAAATCGCATAATTATCAAAATCGTTTGATGCGCATGCGGTTTCAAGGAAGTACTGAAGTTTATCTTCCAATCCATGTATATTTTGCGAAACTTCATTTGACGGCTAAGATGTGCCACATGTTGCATTGGAGTACCCAAAAAATCGAAAAACGCGAATAATTTCCGAAAACTCCATATGCCATTAACGCGCATCCGATTTCGGTGCGCACCCTAAAAAAATACATCGATCTATACTGATTTCAATGTGGTCCATTAAGAACCATGGATGTGCCAGCTCACACTATTTTTGAGATAAATTGGGTATATCTCTCTTTCGGCTGAAGTTTATAAAGTTCTCTTTTCGAAAAAGATCAAAATCCCTATGAGGTCATTTATTGAAGCGGAAATAATCCACAGAAAACGCAAATAAATCCGCGATATTTTCAAAAACATTTTTTGCCAAATTTCGTGTTTTTGGAAGGCCAGTTCCCGCCGTTCTAGCAGATGGATTTTCACGAAGAAGATTTTATATCATCCGAAACGTAAAAAAACTTTTTGATCGCGGGAACCCATATCATTCAGTTGACAGATCTAAAAATGTGGCCCGAAAACAAGGTTTTTTAGAAATTTGATCGCACAAAATTCTCAACTTCGGATGAGTATTACTCTGAAGCTGTGCATACTACATACACAAAATACATATCAAATTACGCAGATTCGATTAATCGATTTTTACAAATTCCTGTTTGCGAATTAAAGCTAGCATCATTTAAAGGTAGATGCAGTTAAAATTTTGAAAAATGATACATTAGAGGCGTAGTCCCCATTTTGTTGGCTTCTAGTTTTACTTTTACACGAATACAGTCAAATGAGTGGCTTAATCACAAATCGATAGAGAACATAAAAAAACTGGTTCGCCTCAACCTGTTTTTACACATTTTTTTACATTAAAGTGTAACGTTTGGAGGTCAATATCATGAACAGTTTGCAACGACCGATCAATTAACCCAAAACTATTCACTTTTTTCATATACTTAAGTAATTCTGAGTTATAAAGGTGTTAACCTCCGCTTCAGCTATGTTAAAGAATTGGCAATATATACCCAAAATATATATTGTTTACATTAATGCCCATCTGAGATTTTGAACATTTCCTTGTATTTAAAAAATGAGCAATGATAATCAAAGACCTCCATACATATGGAATCATTTCCGATTATTACAATCCGATACAGGAGAATCTTGATAATTTAAATATATTAATATTCACGATTGTTCTTGGGCCTGGTCTCCAAAAATTATTCCAAGTCTACGACTTTTGTATATTAGTGACCTAATATTTCCTTTTATCAACGCAATTTTTATTAACAATTTTTAATTAATTTCATTTATTTTTTTAGGTATCTATTGCCCGTCCTAGTTCTGAATCTATTAAAGGTGCTAATTTATATGTCTCTGGTCTTCCCAAAAATATGACACAACCAGATTTGGAACAATTATTTAGTCCATATGGAAAAATAATTACCTCAAGAATATTATGTGACAATATAACGGGTAAGTAAATATATTCAAATAAAAAATTATAATTTTTAAAAAGTGAATTTTTCTAAAATATATATATATATATATATATATATATATATATATATAAACAATTGCAAAACCGTAGTTTCAGGGAAGTGAAAATCATTTTAAACTGAATAAAAATGAGTCGACAATATTTTTAAACAAAGAACATAATAACGTAAGATAACACGAACATACAGATACAAAAAATTGACCCCAAAGAGGGGCACAGTTCACATATAAACCCATTCCAGAGATTTGCTCTCAAATAAATTAAGGAGCGTTTATATCCGACGTACCATCCAGAACTGATATATTAGGGGGTAATTAAAAAATGTCCGTAGTTTAGATAGCGGTTGTTGTTGTGGCAGTTGCAGAGCAGCAACGTGTCGTGTTACTGCTAGTTCACATGGTGCATGTGTTAGGTATCGAGCCGACAATTCTTGCCCAATAGGAATTGAGCCAAACAACTCGTGTTTGTCTGCACAGCTGCTTCTCCTCTGCTGCGATTGATGCGGGATGGTCTCCGATTATGATATTGACACGATATTGCAATATCACACGATATTGCACTATGATAGGGGAGTTCCTGACGATAGCACCCAAGCAAGCACTGCATCGACAACATGTAATTGTGTCGATGGACGTTTAAGATCTTCGTCTCCTCATGATGATGGTCCACTAGAGTCATGAGGAGACACCCTGTTGCAGTTCTCAAGGCAGTATTCTGGATATTCTTCGACTGCGTATCACTTACATTTGCAATCCACACTGGCGTTACACTGACTGGCCTATTGCTTTATAAGAGGTCACTTGGTGCTCTTTGTCAGAGCCCCATGCTGCCGGCTAGCTATATATGGGAACTAAATCTAAATCTCAACCGATTTTCACGAAACTTAGCACACATCAGTCTAGACCTAATTCAGAACCCTATGCCACTTACCTTAAATTTATATGGGTGCTATATATAAATCTGACCCGATTTGGAACGAAATTTGGCACACGAAATTCTCCTCTCCTATACATCAGAAGAACATAAAAATGTTTTGTCTTCAAACTGAACTTTATGGTAAACACAAATTAAATTACTTTTTTATTTAATTTTACAATAGTTTTAATTTACTTTTGTTTATGGTTATTTTAAGTAATTATTTTATAAATATTTTTATAATTTTTTCCCCTACACAACACTAAACACTCTCGTCGTCCTTATTAGGCGGGCCTATTGACCAGGGTATGTTGTTGTTTTTATTATTATTATTATTTTCATATAATAATTTCTGTTTGTTGTGTTAATCATCATTTCAATTTTGTTTTATCATTTCATATATTTTCGTAAATCATTTTAAAGTTTCAGAACGCTTAGAAATGCTCCTAATAAAAAAATTAAAATAAACGAACATAAAACCAGTCGCCAAGCTAATACATAAACATTTACATAACATTACATTTTGTTTTGTTCTTTGGAAAATATTTATGATTTATTTAAAAACTGTTACTTTTATTTTTTAATTTTCAAGGTCTCTCAAAGGGCGTGGGCTTTATACGTTTCGATCAGCGTCACGAAGCCGATCAGGCCATAAAAGCCTTAAATGGCACCATACCCAAGAATGCCACTGAACCGATTGTGGTGAAATTTGCCAACAATCCAAGTAACAACAAGGCCTTCCAGCCGTTAACTGCTTATTTGACACCACAAAATCCAAGGACTCGCGGTTTTCCGGCAGCAGCGGCTGCTGGAGCTGCTGCTGCGGCCGCTGCAGCCGCCATACATCCCACAGCTGCAGGACGTTATAGGTATGCTTATGAATACATTTTATTTTTAAAGAAAAGTAGTTATTTTTCATTCCTTTTGTTTTATTTTCCAGCTCTGTCATTTCCCGTTATTCGCCTTTGACTGGTGATCTATTGGCCAATTCCATGTTACCCGGCAACCCCATCAATGGTTCTGGTTGGTGTATTTTTGTTTATAATTTGGCCCAAGAAACCGAGGAGAATGTCTTGTGGCAGCTATTTGGTCCATTTGGTGCTGTACAATCAGTAAAGGTGAGGAGAAAAAATTTCCACCTGCCTTAGTGATATCCTGTATATTTCTTTGTTTTTTTGTTTCCTTCCAGGTTATACGTGACTTGCAAACAAATAAATGCAAAGGTTTTGGTTTTGTTACCATGACCAATTACGAAGAGGCCGTATTGGCCATACAATCCTTGAATGGCTATACATTGGGCAATCGTGTATTACAAGTCAGCTTTAAGACAAATAAAACTAAACAAACGTAATTATTAACAAAATTGACTGCTGTTGTTAACCATCATCATCACCACCACCACCTACAACAACATCATCACCACCAAAACCATCCCAATCATCCTTTTGCTGGCAATAATCATCACCATCATCATCATCATTTGATGGCAAATCTCAATGCCACCAGCAGCGCCACCATTAATAAGGCAACTTCCTCCTTATCCACGGCATCACTTGTCCATCCAGCATCGGTAAATAAAACATGGATAAATAAGAATATTTGCGGCAATTTACTAACCACCGGTAAAAGTAATAATGATGTTAAGGCAACAACAACAACAAAAGATGCGTCGTCATCATCAACGACGACCACAACTACTGCTATTTTAAGCTGCTCCACAACACAATCATCATGTACAACAACAATGACAACAACCACAACGACATTAAGCACCAACATCAACAACCTTTCCAAATTAACCGTAACAAGTAACAACCAGAATAACAACAACAACAGCAATCAATGTATGAATAACAAAAAAACGAAACAAGATTCCGAACAACCACACCACCAAACAAATAATCTAAAAACTAACCAAACACAATCAACATCCTTATTGTTATCATCATCGGCATCATCATCCCAACAACGTTCATCTAATCTTTCTTCCTCCTCCTCTACTTCATTCACAAATAATACGTCCACAATAACAGTCGCATCTGTATCGGGTTCCTCGAATACCACAACCAACACAACTACAAATACAAGTAGTAATGCCACATCCTCCTCCATACAGACAACAACAAATTCCACATCATCTATGATTAAGACTTCGAGTAAATTTGTCTACAACAAACCACAAAATCATTATGAACTCTTACAACAACGCCTCCATATGCAACAAGAGTTTGCTCAACTTTTCACCAGTTTGGCTCAACAACATCAGCATCATCAGCCATTTGGTGCGGGCTCAGCTTCCAGTTCACAGGCGGCTGCAGCAGCAGCCGCATTTAATAATCCCTCTTTGGGTGCAGCAGCTGCATCAACATCGGCAGCTGCGGCGGCTGCTGCTGCTGCGGCTGCCTCATCGAATGCTGCCAAGAATTCGTTGTCATCATTTTTGCCATTTTCAAATTGGTTTTTCTAAACGAAAGTAATTTAACGCGTTTGAATCGAAATTGCGGATTGGAATTTATTAAGAGGAATTTTTTTTTGCAGTTAAAAAAGGGAAGTATGTTGTGCATGGAATATCTTTAAGAAGAAGAAGGTCATTAAGTTGTTCTATGGATAGAATGCCGTTGGGGGTTTCTATGGATTAGAAGGTCATTGATGTTTTCTATGCCCAGAAGGCCGTTGAGGTCTTCTATGGATAGAAGGTCGTTCTTTCTTTTCTATATACCGAAGATCTGAAAATTTCTATAGATAGAATACCGTTGAGCTATTCTGTAGATAGAATACCTTTGCGTTCATCTATAGACCTTTGAGCCCTTCTATTGAAAGAAGTTTTTTGGACTCTTCTATAGACCTTTAAGCTCTTCTATTGATAGAAGACCTTTAAGCTCTTCTTTTGATAGAAGACCTTTAAGCTCTTCTATTGATAGAAGACCTTTAAGCCCTTCTTTTGATAGAAGAAGCTCTTCTATTGATAGAAGACCTTTAAGCTCTTCTATTGATAGAAGACCTTTAAGCATTGAATACATTTGAGATCTTGAGGGCTCTTCTATAGATAGAAGACCTTTGAGCGATTTAAGGCTTTTGTGCTCTTATATCTTAGATCTTATATAAGATCTTGAGTTATTCTATTGACAGAAGTCCTTTAAGATCTTCTATTTATAGAAGATATTGGAGCTCTTCTATTGATAGAAGACCGTTGAGCTCTTCTATTGATAGAATACCCTTGAGCTCTTCTATTGATAGAAGATCTTTGATCTCTGCTATTGATAGAAGACGTTTGAGCTCTTCTATATATATATATATATATAAGATCTTTGAGCTATTCTTTTCATAGAATACATTTGACCTTTTTTGTAGAACCTTTTATCAATACAAGTCCTGAGGGTTCTGCTATCGACAGAAATATTTTGAGCTCTGCTTATGATAGAAGTTTTGAGCTATTTGAGGCCATTTTTCGAAAGAAGACCTTTCAAGATCATTTATCGGTAGAAAGCCTTTAAGTTTTTCTATAGATATAGGATTTCTGAGGCTTTTTCCAGAGATAAAAGACCTTCTGTAGGCATAAACTCTTAATAGAAGTGCTCTTTATGGGTAGTAGTTTTTAGAATCCTAAAAATATAAGTCCTCCTTCTCCCCCGATTGTTGAAAGGCCTTGAAACCTATGGGGCCTTCTATAGAAATATTTTATTATACGGATTTAAAAGGGGACAAAATATTTTTTAAGGATTTTAATTCTACTACTTCGCTCTGAGTCCTTGTTCTGGTCATTTGTTAACTTAATGTAAAATCGGGTAATTTGTGGAGCCATTTGTAAACTTTAAATTTTACTCTTTTCTCAAAGGGAAACATAACTTAACAAATTTTAAATTTTATTATTTTTATTGGAGGTTAATATGCCGAAAATCTATATTTTAATGCAATTTTAAAATAATCAAACCATAGCTAAAAATCAATTAATGGTTGGACATGCAATTTCCGTCTATTAAACCCTAAAAAACCATTCACAACTTATTTTAAATATTCATTTTTCTCAAAGGAAAAAATAACCTAAAAATGTAAAATTTTATTATTTCTATTGGAGGTTGGTATACCGAACATTTAAATTTTTAATGAAATTTTAAAATAAACAAACCATGACTAAAAGCAATTAATGCTTGGACATGGAATTTTCATCTATTAAAATCTAACCTAAAAAATCATTCACAACTCATTTCAAATATTTCTGCTACATTTTCATATACACCACACATTTCTCATAGATAGATTTTAGTCATCAATTTCATCCATCAATTCAATAATCAATACATTGTTATTGAAAACACAACAAATATATATTTTATATAATATATGAATTTCATTTATAATATTTTATTTACAATTAATTGAATATTTTTTCAACACACCATCCCCTCCAAATAATAATGAATGCAATTACATAGAAAAAGAAAAAAACAAATGATATATAAATAAATATTTTATAGAATAATTGCTAAAACAAAAAAAATGTAGTAAAAATAAAATACAAATATTGTGTGACATCTATATACAAACAACAAACATACATATATATTTATCAAATTATTAAAATAAAAACACAAACAATATACATAAATACAAACTTAAAAAAAAAAACAAACCTCGTGTTATCATAACAAAAACGAATCCTTATAAACAATATTATGTATTTTCTAAATGTATTCAAATATTTATGTTTCATATTGAGTAATTTTTTCTTTAAAGGATAAGGCTGGAAATGGCATAGAAAACAATAACGAGAAAAAGCATAATAATATAATAAATAACAATTATCCTTTTCCATCTTATCTCTAACCTATATTACCTTTACAAATCATTTTAAAATATCCCATATAAAAAATATAATTTAAATTTATCTTAAATTCTTTATACACATTTTGGTAAGCAAATATAAATTGAATTTAATTTGAATTTTGTTAAAACATATATTACAATAATAATAATTTCCATATACATTTGTATAACAAACAAAAACAATTGTGTTGAAAATTAAAAATATTTTTTTTTTGCTTTATATGGTATATTCACCAAATTATGTCTTATAATCACCATATATTTTTTGTAAAATCAAACTCTAATTGTTGTCAAAGAAAACAAAAATGGAAAATTCCTCTACAAAACAAACCAAACAAAAAACTCATTGTGTTTAATGTAAAAATAAATTATTACATTTTATATATAACTATCGAAAAAAGTAAAACAAAACAAAGCAAAAATATTATTGTCATTCTTATATATAACATATATTTAATATAAAAATCTCAAAAAATGAAACAAAAACTAAACACATTAGAATTATATATAAAAAACCAGAAAAATCCAAACCCGTAAAAATAGTTTATAAGCCTGCATTATCTATTTTTGTTGAATTGTTGTTCTTTTATTTAAATTCATTTATGTGTTGGGTTAGGAGGTTAACCTAACCAAAGTCTATATATTTCCTCTCTCTATTTACATATTTTTTCAGAAATTACATTTTTAAACACAAGAATTTACTTTATTTTAATGTGTTTGTTTTTTCTTTCTATCTTTTTGTGAAATATTTAAACCAAACCACTATATGATTTTTTTCTAGTCTTCAAGTTAAGTTTTATATATATTTTTTCTATTTATGTTTGCTTTCAACCTATTCATTTTTAATTTAAGAAAAGAAGTTTCATTGTTTGTGTTTTTTAAAACCATTTTTGGTAATTGTTTCTTAAACTTGTTAATTTCGTTCTGTTTGTTTTACTTACTTTTACTGTTCAATTGTATTTTATTTAATAAGGTTATGTTCAATTTCTATTTTTCTCCACAACTTTCTTTTTGGAATCAAAATAAAAGGAACAAAATGTTATGAAAACAACATTTGGATATTTTTATTTATTTATTGTTTACTTTTAGATTTCACAACAGATCCTACGTTCTTGTGGGAATCTGTACCGCTGGTTTTATTTATTTGCTATTGTGCCGCAAACATTGACCTTCAAACTTCAATATATCTCTTAGAAAAGTTCCCGATACCTCGCGAATTGTTTTCTCAACATCCTCGGCCTTTTTGAGGTCATGTTGATCTTATCCCAGTTCGTCTTCCGAGGGTTCCTAAGCCTGGCCTTATAATAAGAGAAGAGAAAGAAGCATATTAACCCTGGTCGTGTTTATGCGTATTCACAGTGGAATTGGCATCACAGCCTATGCCACTAACGCCATCCTAGGATATATTAAAATTGTTTATATCCCATAATAAATGCTATGGTTACACACATTAAGATCCGAACAGGCCTGTGCATTTGCGTCTACCTTATAACAGAGATTTTTTTAAATATTTATTTAAGGACCACCAACAGAAATGGTTTTTTAAATAGCCGTGTTTTTTAAATATTTTTGAAAGAATACCAACAAGCATGTATTTTTTTAAATTTTTTTCAAGGACTCAAACAAGCGTGGTGTTTTTAAGGCCTCGATGAATAGCAAATGACATGCATTTTTTAAATATAATAAATATATTTAAAAATATTGTTTAAAGGCCTGACATAGGCGTGCATTTCTTAAACATACATTTTAAAGGAACTAGATAAACCGACAACGTGAACAATTCCGATCGTGTGTTGTCAAGTCATTATATATGACCGTAGCGCCATTTATTCTCGAACAAAAACAAACTCGTTGGAATTTGCCCCTAGGATTTACTTTCAATTCATTTGAAGGCCGTCGTTCTGTTTTTCAACCAAACTCAGAGTTTTTCCCAGTTACATAAGAGGTGATGGAAACAATATCGAGGTGACCACCTGGCATGGTATCTTATGGCCAGCGTTAGACGCATGTAGACTACCCTACTGTATCACTTGAAATTACCAAACTTGCACTGGTCCCTGGTATGCTGTCCACCGCATCCGTAACACTTGGTCCGTCATGCATTATTTGTCTTCGATGTGTACCTTCAATACAGGAGGATCCACTGCACCAGTTGCTACGCTTTTCATTTCCAGTGCTGTCAATAGTAACTGTGTTGTAAAAATTCTATTCTATCCAAAAACTCTCCACACCCGCAATGAGTTGCTGCTTTTCTAAGACGTAGGATATATTCTGCTAACGATCCCTCTTTTCCTTGAATGATTTGACGAAACTTTATTTTTCTTTTTGTCAAAATGATTCATCAATGTAGACTTGATTTCTTCGAATGTGAAGTCTTGCGGCACCCTCGGGCTTATTAAGGTTTTAACTGCCCCGACCCCATGTACACAAGAATATCATTTTTGTATTCAGCCTCTGGAATACGACTCAGCTTGAAGGCTCACTCGAAAGGAGTAAAATAATCTTCAACTAACGCCACCGTTGCATTCGGGTGAGCAATATTTGCACGATGGTCTTCAAGTCCTCTGTATCTACCCTGTAATAAAGGTAGTCGACTCTACGTCGATGAATTTAACGACTACCACAAAAATATATCGACTACCG